CAGCGGCGTCCGAGGCAGCCCGGTCACCAGATTACCAGTACCAGATGCACGAGAATACCCCACAGCAACCGATGTACGCAAATCCTCCGCAGTTCGGCCAGGTATTCGATTCACCTCCGGAATCCATTGATAGATATGACCCCAGTTTCCGCCCACCACACCCAACTTTCCGCTCAAACTCTATTTTCCAGAACCCAGGAACTCATGACACCCATGGCCGGAGGTTCTCCTACTTCCCCCCCGACTTCATGCAGAGCGACGATTTGGCCGCCCCTGATGAAGAAACACCACCAAACACAACCCCAACCCCAAATTTTACAACATCTCCTCCGAGCCAAGCGTCACCATCGCGACAGTTGCCTACACCCCCGGAATCGTTGGGGAATATGTCAATGGCCACTCCTACCATGTCAACACCCGCGATGCTTCCCATACAGGCTCAGACCCCGAACTCTATGGGCATGGCTGCTTTTGGAACACCAACTCCTGAACTGAACTCGAGGCCGCAGACCTCACCGTTGCCGCCGTATGGGATGACGCCTGTTGCACAGCACACACCGGTCCAGCGACCCCTTCCTCAGGAACTACCTTCGTCCAGCGAATGGTTCACCCCTCCGGCTTCATTCATGAATCCATACAACTTCGGGACCATGGGTGGCGGTTTTTACGGAAGTGGCTTACCTGCTTCTGGCCAGTATCAGGAGTTCTCAGGAGCTGGATTAGGGTTACAGGCCATGAATTTTGGTGCTGATGGCTCCCAATTTTCCCCAGTGGCAGTTCGGCAGGATAGTCTAACCCAGTCCCAGCAGCTTGAACTGATGAACGTGCTGGAGACGGAAGGCGTCCGCGATATCGATACCTTTTTAACTTCGGGTACCATGGTTGCTACGAAATGGTATTGATAACTGGATATCTCGGCCATAGTACAGCATTTTACCTCGTAGTTTAATTTTTGGAAACCGAATTTAAGTGAAGAGGGTACCTAGGGACATGGCGTCTGGATACTTGGGTGGATATAGCTAGGTTTAGCTCTGCAGGATGATGACTTCATAAATTGTCTTTGTTTTCTCTTCTTCCTATCTCTGCTTATTCTCGTATTTCTGGTGCTAACTGACTACGTATATCGCCTGTGCTAGCTGTGTTTGTTTCAAAATGAGCCCATTTTGTCGAAACATAGTAGAAACCTGGCAAGTTCAATAGCAAGTATGCGGAAATCATCAACCATCTGCGTGATAGACCGAAGCTGCCCAACCTATGACCCTTTTGAGTGTGCCTCTGCATACTAGAGCCAGATCTAATGCAGAGTCGCCTAATGTCCTTCTTCGAGAAATCATCCAGACTCCAGCATCCCACTGATTAGACCGGTGGTGAAACCAAGCCTAATCAGTCCTTGGCGTCCTCTACATCCAGATTCTGCATGGCGGAGGCCGCGCCGTCAACCTGGGCGGCGTTGCCGACAGGAGGCTTCTTGGTACGCTTCTTGCGCTTCGTGGTGCCCGTGACGACCGGGGCGTCGCGAACCCAGAGCGCGATAGCGGCGGCCCGCTCGGTCAGGAGCGGGTACTCCTTGGACTCGTCGGCGGCCCATCGCTGCGAGGCGGGAGAGTCCGCCGCGCAGTGGTGGCAGAGCTGGTGCTGATGCTGGTGCTGCGGCTGCTTCATCTTGTTCATGGCGGTGGTGGCGGCTGGGTCGGTGGTGTAGTTGGATGAGCCGTTCGCCTTGGCGGCGCCCGAGTGCTCCTCCTCGGCGCGTTTCTCCCTTGCCATGATGGCGGCGCGGAAGGAGGCCTCGTCGACGACGCGGTCGTCATCGAGGGCTTCGAGGATGGCTCGTTCGCGCTGGCGCTCTTTGCGGAGGTCCTCCGCGACGGATTCGGGCGAGTTGCCGTTCATGAGAGCGGCGGCGGCAGATGCGGCGAGCTCCGGGCTGGACACGGACACGGTCATTTCGGAGGTGGGTGCGTCGAACATAGGTAGCGGCGCGGGGACGCAGAGAGTCTCCCAGTTGGAGCTCAGAGTGAGCCAGTTGTCGGCCCTCCGGAGGAGCTCGATCCAGTCAGAGCGGGCGGGAGACCTGCTCGCTTGAAAGACAGGATAACCATCGCAGAGTCTGACGATGCGGGCAACCATGTATGCGTGACGCTGCAGTTCCTTAACTGAGGTCTGCACCAGGCAGTGGCAAAGGAGAAGAGAATGGAGGGCATCTGCCAGTAACGGGTGGTAGGTGGTCCATTCGCAGGTGGTAGCGGCGGGGTTGTGGTAGATGCCCTCGGGGTCGTGCTTGACGAGGTCTTGAGGAGGATATGGTGGCAGCCCGGTAGGTGGAACAGCGCTGAACAAGTCCGAGATTGAATACACAACGTGCTCTGAGATGGGGCTTGTATCCGAGACTCGTGGGTTGCGGGTACCATGAGCGGCGGAGTTAACACGCTCATTAAAGTCTTTGACAACCCGGGTGGACAGGTTTGGCGAATATTCAAAGTGAGATAGGAAGGCCATGTAGTCCCTCAAGGCTCGCTTCGCCATGAGCTTGACCGACTTTCGAGCCTCGGCCTCTTTCTTGGACGTCTCGTTGTTTTGACCTTTGCTTTCGGGTTCCTCGTCGCCGTCCGCCGAAGGCCCTGGGTTGTTGGAACCTGAAGGGCTTCCTGGCCGAAGACCCTCCATAACATGATTGCAGGCCATGGTCAGGTAGACCGACGCTCTCTGGAATAGAAGCTGCCCCTCAATGCTGCGAGGTTGATCTTTCTCGGCCAGGATGACATCTTGAGCCCTTCTTCTGGCACGTTGCTGATCATAAAGCTGCACCTCCCCGCCAGGCGTCTTCGTGTGCGAAGGCAAGTGGTATCGACATATCTGTAGGGCATGCGTGAGGTCCTGTGCCGCGCCATCGTAGTCCTCCTTGAACACCTTGACAGTTGCTCGCGTCCGCAGCGCCTCTGGCTCCCCGGGGCGCTCGCTGATGATGTCGGTCAAGGGCTGTAGGCTCGTACACTCAGCAAGCTGCCTGGACGGGATCTTCTCGTGGAAGAAGTGGACGTATTTGGCATCTGGATCCTTCTGGTTGCGCTGCAGCACAAAGCTTCCAACCTCCTCCAGCGGGGAGGCGCCTTGCATCGTAGCCACACTGCAAGCGATCTCGTCAAGACGGTACGCGCGGGCCAGCTTCTGGCTGGCCTGCTCTCTCATGCGAAACTTGCGCTCGCGGCTAAGTTTGGCGCCATGCCCGGTGCCGCCTATTCCTAGGGAATGAAGTGACGATATATCCGGGATGCCACCGTTGACGTTTGTCAGTGTCGGTGAGGCAATGTCACTAGCAGCCCTCACGGCAAGGTTCGTCGCCTCGTCGACAAGCCGGCGGACCTTGACGAGATCGAAGAAGGAGGCAGGATCAATGGGCCGGGGTCGCGGGGTGTTGTAGTTGATGTTGGCGATCGTCTCGAGAATCTCGACGGGCATCTGGAGCCATGGTCCATGGAAGGCTGAGATGTATCGCCAATGCCTGTTGGTTTAGGGTCAGGGATACGGTCTCCTTCGAGCGCGGGAAGGGGATATGCACAATATCAAGGTACGCAAGTGGTTGGTGTAGTACGGCATGCACATGAGGCAAGGCCAGGAGTTCGCTCGGCGATACACAGAGGGCGCGGAAAATGAAGAACAGAACGGGACACGCGCATTGAAGGCGAAAGGTAAGGCAATGAAAGCACATCGTTGGCAAACAACTAGACGACTCACTTATTACGGCAAATGACCAGCGAGGCCGAGGCTGGGGTCTTGGAGGCAACAGACGGGGACTTTTTGGTGGGCTTAGAAGCTGATGTCGCCGGGGGTTTAGGCGCAGGCGCTGCAGATGGCGCCATGGTCTCGCTCTCTCCAATTGAGACAGCCTTGCTCTTCTTCTTCGCCATAGCTCAGGCCAAGGGTGTGGTGGCGAGCGAAGACAAGACGTGCTCGCAAAGTCAAGTCAAGTGTTTGCAGCACCACCCAGAAATCCCACGATGGGAATGTGGGGAGGATGGAGAATGCGACAGGGCTAGTATTATATCTACCTGCGCCGCGTGTGGCAGAGGGAGCGTGCACGGGAAGCCGAGCAGAGAATGAATGCTAAAAGGAAAGCTGGTCAACAGCGACGGAGATGCAGGAGAGAAGGAAAGAAATATAGAAACAGATGTTCGAGGGAACGGGTGTTTACATTTCACCCTATGACGAAAGATGAGAAAGACATTGAAATCACCAATCTGCAGTTCGGCAGCGCATTTGGCAGGTACATACCTTTTTCCCGCTTTGTGGGTGCTGGTTGGCGAGCAGCAGAAAGACGTCCGCAGTGATCGCGCAGGGCTAGGCGGCCAAAGAGAACGAGGTACAGCGGGCAAAAGAACGCACGCAGGGCCCCTTCTGGCAGTTCGAGTCCATGTTTGTCCGTTGATAGTAAGTTGCCTTTAGGAGCGGCAAGCGAGCAGCCGCTTTGAGGTTATCAGCATCACGTGAAAGCCCATTCCTACTCTCCACTACAACCAACATGCAAATGTTCGCTTCAACCAACATGCATATGTTCGCTTTTCGGTATCACATCCATTACATATTTACCAATGCGGCGAGAATATTTCATATAGGATCATCGGAGTAGTTTCATGGCTGCTTCGTTCCAAATCATATTTCATCCCAAACATCGCATCTCCTAAGAGCCTCTTGCCCTTGTAATTCACCGGCTGACGAGAGCGCAAATTAAAAAATGAAATGAATCAATCAAATGAATTAAAAACAGATGGGGTATTAATGACCAGCCATCAAGCGACAAAACAGTCGCGATGGACTTGAAAACACACAAAAATGCTCATATCTACTTGGTCCATGATACACACAGAAAAAAATAAACTCATCCGTTCGTGGTCCGCCTCCGCCTAATACTTGATCGTTAGAATTCAATGCGGCGTGGACTGAGTCGTTCTAATTCTTCACTCCTTTTCTTCTCCTTCCCCTAATCCCTCAAAAAGGCGGCTCTACAGGCCGAAGTACATGGCAGCACCACCGGCGACGGCGAGGACGGCCGAGGCGGACCACGAGCCGAGACGACCAGCAGCGTTAATGGGGGGCGAAGAGGTCGTGGTGGCAGGGGCAGATGTCGAGGGGACGACAGGGCTGCCGGTGCCAGTTGGCTGGCCGGGGGTGGTGGTGCTGTTGCCTCCAGAGCTCTTCTTAACGAAGTTGGCGCAGGTGATGCGGGTGTTGTTGCCACCGTAGTGCAGGACGAAGGACTTATCACCGAAGAAGGCGGCGTCAGACTTGGTGGTGGAGGCGTAGTCGTCCTGGTAGGTCTTGTCGTAGGTACCGGCACTCTCGATCTTACCGTGCTTGCCGGCCAGGTCACCGACCTCGCAGATGGCAGGGTTGGAAGCGTCGCAAGGAACAGCAACGCCAGCCTCGTAGGGGTCCAGGTGAGAGGAAGTGGCAGTGCAGTTACCTCCCTCCGGGACGGGCTTGAGATGAAGGTGGTAGGCTGTGATTCACGGTTAGCTTGTGTCACTAGACTGGTGACTCGAGATGGGGCAGATGCGACTTACTGAAAGGACCACCCGCAGCCGGGATTCCCTCAAAGTGGACGTTGAACTTGACGCCGCGGCCATTGTCACCAGCCTGGGCGGTGATGGAACCCTGGATCTTGGGGCCGCCAGGGAAGAAGGAGGTGCCGGGCAGGACAGCCTGGTACACATCGCCGACTGGGTTGTTGTTGGTGACAGGAGCCTCGCGGGCGCTGACCATGGCGGCCGCGGAGAGCATCATGAGAGCAGTCTTGCCGTGCATCTTGAAGGTTGGGTTTTGTCGGGAGAGTCAACGATGAAGATAGTTGAGAGTGAGTGGACTGTGAAACCGAAGCAAAAGATAGCTCAGCAAACGACTGGGGGATGAAGGAGAAATCGGGGTGGTGATTCCAGAAACGAGGCAGAGTGTGGCGGCCGGCACTGTCTTATAAACAACTGGCAGCCCGCGAGCACCAACTGGTCTGGGGAACGATTCGCGCTCAAGTGAAACAAGGATACACAAGGCTTGGGCTGGGGAGCAGGGATCCGATCAGACATCACACATTTAAGTGGAGAGCAACTCTATCTCGGGGCCGGACCCAGATCATCTTACACTACCTATCCATGAATTATTAGGATTGGTTCCAAAACAAGGGACGGAGACGGCTTCGCCTGCCAGTCACGCCTACTCTTCCTGGAATGGTGCGCGGCACCTACAGGCCCGTTGCGACCGGGCTGATGCTACCTCGTAGATTTTAGCTGGTTGACGGGCTGTGTCCAGCACAGCACCGAGCTTCCCAGAGGTGCCGTGGGCAGGGAGGGAAGGGAAGGGGAGGCTTGAGGGTGATGGATATATTTAGCAACAGCCAAGATCGTTCCGACGCCGCCAATCTAACCGACATTCCAGCCACTCCGCCTGAACGCTCAACAACGTTTTCGCTTCATTGTTTCTCTCGCTCCCCCCATCGGTCGGCTCCCATACTATATGTTCGCACCATGTGGCATTTTCGGCCGTGACTGTGACACGCTGACAATGGATCGTCAATTGGCCGATCTTGCCCGTGTGAAAACATCAAACGTGCTTTTTGGCTAAAAGTCTCAATCGGCTAGGCACCTGCTAGCAACACCCTTGACCAAGTCGCGGCACGATCTGCGTTATAAGAAATGACCGCAGCCAATGTCAGCAGCCAGTGATTGGCCCCATCTTCACCACTCCCTGTGCCATAACGTGCTACCCTTCCCCCCGAGAAGTAATATCAAGGGGTAGATGGGGCAAACGAGATTCTGCGTCTCATGCACCCGCACAGGTCCTGTTTCGTCTCATGTGGCACGGCCAAGGCATGGATCTGCCTGTGTAAGCTCTGCTTGGAGTAGGTATGTCGCAGCAAAAAGTCCGATCAATACTCTCTTCTTCGGCCCTCGCATCCTCAACCGACCGCGATGCTGTGATACTAGTGCTACGTACCTGCATCTAGCCGGGCCGCCTTGTGACCAGGATCTCACGGTGTGGCTGTCAGAGCAACACACTAAGACCTAAGAATGGATACTCAAGGGCTTATTGCCTGCAAATAGAATCTCTCGTTGGTGCCAAGTAATGCGAGAGGGCTGGTTAGCGCTGATGGCTTGGTTGTGCTTGCGAACACCACAGCCTTTCGTTCTCCGCGATCCGTGGTTTGCGACCTCGCAGCACAGTTGTCTACCAGTCAGTCAGCAACAGCCAACGCATGAAGCTTGTTAGCTGTCTCAGCCAAGCTCGGCCAAGATTATATAGATTGGTTATAGGCAACGGCCGAGGGAGGATTCAAACGCTGCAAGTTGCATCCATGCATGAGCCAGGGGGACGTCGGCGACCATTCAGTAATGTGACATCTCGAGTGAATGACATAGCTGTGGGAAATTAGACGCTGTCGTAGAAGGTGAAGATCACCAACAACAAATCCGTCACAATCATGATAAGTCTTGATGCCTTACCAATAGGGCATCATTTTACGCCCCAAAGATTCCACCTTCTTATCTAATCTACCAACATATTGCTTACTAACAACGTTGTTGCTATAAATAAATTTACCGTAGGGTAGGCAGCACCGCAGGCACTTACTAAGCCGTCATACGTCAAGCTAGCGGCGCATTTGCGACACGGCGACTTCATTGGCGATTGAGCTAGAGGTCAACGCATCAGATCACAGTATCGAAACGCCTTGCATCCGCACACGATCATCACAGCGCATCTCGACCGATACACAACACCCCATACACCTGCCCATCATGAAGCCCATCGTCAGTGCCGGAAATGCATGGTCATGGTTCGTTCTCCCTGTTGCCGCGTCACGGCCAAAAGCCAATCCCAGCCTCACTCGAGCTCTACCTGGCACCGGTTGCTAACCAAGTCAAATCGCATCAGCACTGTCGTCTCCGTGTTCGCCATCATCATCCTCAGTATCATCGCCGTCCTCTACCGCAGTGAGCACGAGGAGTTCCCATCCAAAGACCCCAAGGGAGTCTCGGGAACCATCTTCACTGCCGTCATCGTCTACGCCGTACGTTTTGGTCGACCTGCACCCCCCGCCTCCTACCTTCGATTCACGAACGAGAGATTGCTAACAATGCCTAATGCAGGCTTTCTTCGTGTGCTGCGGTCTCCAGGGTCTCCTCCACGTCCGCGAGAGCCGACGCGGCGCCATCACTCTATCTTAGAAGAACAGGCAACCATTTACATGCATCTACCACCGATCGGGCGAGCGCTTCAGTCCCCCCTTCTCTATTGTTTTTAGTTTCATAGGTATCATGGCGTTTTAGGAATGCAACATGTTTCTACTTGCTTTGCCATTATTTTCGCAACAACCTTTTACGCTCAAGAGTCGACGATATACTCGATTTGCACCAGCCAGCCAGTTGTCGCGGGAAGAGCCGGAAGTAGAACACTCCAGCAAGGGCAATTAGACGGGATGGGGGCGAACACTCTTCGGGCGCTTCGTGTATCTGTATACCCAAGAGCAGACATTTTGACAGCCGCTACAGTCTCTAGAATAGACAAGCATCAAAATGTACCAATATTATTTCTCTTAACTTCTCGATGGCCAACCGCAACTCGGATTTTATGGGTTGGTGCATATTAGAAGGCCACAGCCATTCTGCAAACGACCTCGTTACGCGCGTTCTCGTTAGTTTCATCGACACGGCGTTCTTGCTGGACTCGAAGGGTGGTTTCACGATCAAGGTTGCCGACATTGTTTCAGAAAACTTCAAGTATATTTGTCCGACATGACATAACAGGTAACAGCAGATGAGAGTGGGAATGTACAAAGCAAGCATGTGAGAACAAGGAACTACTGCGCCCATATATTGGTATCTTGGTTTTGCCCATATCAAGAGGTGGAATGGATCCTATCCTCCTCACTTCTCTCCTCGTGCCTCCTCGCCGGCCTTGTCCTGGTCAGGCTCTATCATCCTCAGCTTCTCTTGAACACTCCGGGGCACAACAAACGGCCTCTCCTCAGGAACAAGACCACGAGCATTAAGCTCCTCAGTTGAGATATCTGGCTCCTCGTCCAACACCCTCTTCAGCTCTCGCGCCTTGTCAGTCACATCCTCAATTCCAGCAATCCATTCCCGGGCCCAGGTATCGCTCAAGGCGCCCGGAATACCGATCTGGATGCTCCTGTATGGCAAGACATCCAGCGCAGGCGTCCGCTCAGGATCCCACTGTATCCTGACGTCGCTGGTCTTTTGGCGCGGCCCCCCCGTGTTACTCTGGGAGGGCTGCACGTGCGTGGAGAGGACCCCTTTCTCCAACAGACCGATGAAGTCCTGGTGCTTCATTTTGATGGCGAGGATGCGGCTTTGGCGATCGTCTTTGTATGAGTAGCCGGCGCGGTACATCATCCAGCTCCAGCTTGGCTTGACCCAGGTCATGCGGCCGGGTTTGAATTCCGGCGAGGCATTGAGCTTCTGGTTAGCTACTGCCGCCTCGGCGATGGAGGTCTTGTAGGCTTGATAGACGGTGATGTAAGTCTCATCGTAGAGTGCTCTGATTTGGCGATATGGTATCTGGACAACGTCTGGCTCCATTGTGAGATGATAAACAAACCGATAAGTCAATGATTAGAGAATTAGTCAATAAGCGATGATGTATGCGGTTGGATATTAATTCAAGTTGCTGGATTACTGAGTGCGACTACCTGTGTGCTATCTTGTCTGTTTATCTATCATTTTAGTCTGGCAGTCCCTATGCTTGGGTAGATAGACAGCTGGGCTGAATCACCACGGCGAGAAACGGTATGAGTCTTTCACCGTTGGTGGCATTTATAAGTTGCTTCAGCCTCAGCTAGCTTGGTGGGGTGGTCCTGACATCTCAAAGGGCACTGGATTATGACATGTACTGTCTAGGCTGATTGAGATTCGCCGCCCTTGGCATGGATGCCAAGTGGGTGACAGGAGAAATGAGACACCAGATGGAAGGGTGGTTATTAATCGACTATGTTCTGCAATAAATAGAGAAATTTAGTAGTATAAAATTAAAAGAAAGCGACAATAAATACAGGATTATCCTGAACAATAAATTATTAGGACTCAATAATCTGACAATACCGGCCACAGACTCGAGAATAAGCAGCTAATGTTCGAGTGTCTTATTCTCATGTCACCCACTTGGATGCGTACCGACCTGCCAGATGAGATAGTCGTCACAAGATTCTTGTCTGCCAGGGATAACGTTAACGAAGGGGTTCCATGTGAAGGGCAAGTATAGAGCCTAACAATGGCTGCAATGGCCCGCTTTAGTACTTGCTAGAGACGCAGGTGCCCAGTAGGCTGATCTGGATTGTTTCATGTGGTCACCGCAACGCATCAGGGTCCAGGCAGGACGTCAGCTTCGGTCTCAGCTACATGTAGACATCACATCTCATTGCATCTGATACCACGTACCGCCCCGTTCATCCTCGATGTGTTTTCTTCGTCCTCGCGGATGCACATAGCCTAAAAACTGGTTTCCGCGTGGATAACGACGTAGAGCGTCACGCGGGCATCACTCGGCGGCTCGAAATACATGGTGCCAAGTACCGGCGTAGCATCAGCCTGGTCACAGTCCATATTAAATTCACACATGATACATGGCACGGCGGGAAGGAAGGTACTTGTGCCCCACCTCCCCTCAGCACCGCCGCTATTATTATCTGCTGCTGTTAATGCCACTATTACCGCCTCTTGCCTTGGGACCGTCTTATCGACTTATCGAAGCGCACCTATCTCGAGCTTCACCATCCAGACTGGCAGGCCAGATATACGGCGTCTCAGCTTCCCGATTCTCCAGGTCTGCCTTCTTGTGCGCAACCCGAAAGAAAAAAAGAAGACATCAAAATAGGAACCGGGGTTCGTCGTGACGCTTTTGCATGTCTCCTCCAGAGCAACCGGCATTCCTCGTCAGCCAGCAAGGCAGTACCGACAAGCCGGCCAACATCAAGTCAGATGAAGCCGTGATCATGGCACAGAACCCCTCCGAGGGGAGGCCGCCCGCCATCGACATCAACGGCGGCAGCTCCGCAAAGCGTTCAGCTCAAATCTCCAAGGACACGGAAGATTTGATCGACTTGGACAGCGATTCAGACCTGCCACCTGCTCCCGCCAAAGGCAAGGCGGCCGTAAGACCCGAACTCGTGCCCAGCACTCCTCCAACCATCCCCGCCGACAAGAATAGATCCTCGACCGATGCCTCAAGTCAGTTTCTTGCTCCCGAGTCTAATTACGTTGATCCGACGCCACCTACGCCCGTCACCTCGCAGCCCCCGTCCAGAAGCCCATCCAGCGGTGCCCGTTCGCAACGTTCCAGCACACAATCACCCACCAGATCAGATCCTGAGTTCGACGAGAGGAGATATGCCAGCGAAGATGAACAAGAAAATGGATCCAAGCTGGAGATCAAGACCATCATGGACCAGTTTAGCTCCGGTGACGGGGGTCCTGGTGCCGACGAGGTCATGAGCCCGAGACTAGAGATTGCTTCGCCCATGCTTGGGAGCCCTGTATCACAGCACCCTCCGCGTAAATCCAGCCTTGAGCCTCTTGCGCCTACGATCGCAGGGCAGATGGGGGAGGATTTCAAGAAATTGAAACTAGCGACCACATCTCCGAGTCAGGACGATGAAAAGAGCCAAAGGGATTTCGACGATGCAGGGCCGCCAGTTCCCCCCAAAGATGGTTCTTCCGGGACGCCCAAATCCAAAGACGAGAGGAGCTCGAGTATAACCTCGCCAATATCACCTACCGTGACTGGCCACCGGCCACCTCCTCCTGAACCGGAACCAGAGCCAGCCCTTCCCTTTGATTTCCACAGGTTCCTCGAGCAGCTCCGTAACAAGAAGGCCGACCCTGTTGCGAGATATCTCAAGTCGTTTCTATCTGAGTTCAGCAAGAAACAGTGGATGGTGCATGAGCAGGTGAAGATCATAAGCGACTTCTTGGCATTCATTGCCAACAAGATGATGCTGTGCGATGTGTGGAGGGAGGTTTCTGATGCCGAGTTCGACAATGCTCGCGAGGGCATGGAGAAGTTGGTTATGAACAGGTTATACACCCAGACCTTTTCCCCAGCCATCGCCCCTCCGAAACCTATTCCGGGTGCCAAACCAAAAAGAAGAGGCGGCGACGCTCCCCTTGGCCCTGGGCGTCGCGGGCAGCATCAGGAGGACGTGGAGCGCGATGATATCCTGGCTCAAAAGATCAACATATATGGCTGGGTAAGGGAACAGCATCTCGATATACCCCAAGTTGGAGAGAGCGGGAAACGGTTCTTGAAGCTCGCACAACAAGGTAGGTCTCCTCCAGGTTTTCTGAATTCTTACCACAACCTATATGCTGACCAACCCAGAACTGTTAAAGATCAAATCATACCGAGCACCACGAGACAAGATAATATGCGTCTTAAACTGCTGCAAAGTCATTTTTGGTATGAAGTAACCTCAACATACGGGCCATCTAAATAAGTAAGGGGCCAGTACAAAATCAAGCTAACGTTTTCGACCCATCCATTTAGGTCTCTTAAAGCACAACAAGTCTGATTCATCGGCTGATTCATTCATGCCGATGCTCATCTATGTTGTTCTACAGTCGAACCCGGACCACCTGGTTTCGAATGTTCAGTATATACTACGATTCCGGAACCAAGAAAAGCTTGGAGGGGAAGCGGGCTACTACTTGTCGTCCCTTGTAAGTTGGCATGATGTCCCTTGAGGCTGCCATATAAGTACTAATATCTGACTTCATATAGATGGGTGCTGTTCAATTCATTGAAAACATGGATCGCACAACACTCACCATCACCGACGCTGAATTTGAGGCGAATGTGGAGGCTGCCGTATCTGCAATAGCGGAAAAACACCAAGCTGCTAATTCTCCTCGCATACCTGATCGTAACCAACAGGTCTTCAACGAGAAAACGCCCCTCAGTCCAACGGAACCCGCACCAAGGCGCTCTCGCGATGACCAAACCAGAAAGTCATATGAAGGCACCAGCAGCAATGACACAATGGCCATGGGCGGCCTCTTAAAGACTATCCAGAACCCACTCTCCACCATCGGTCGTATCTTCTCTGACGACGGCGGGCAATCATCTGCCCCAAGCCCACCCGTCCCTCCTACCACTCCTCGACCACCTCACCCAGGCTCAACAGCACAGCGACCTTCGTCCCGGCACGCCCTGTCGGCAGAAGAAGCCGCTGCCAGGCAAGCAAGTGCCGAAGCAGCCGAGGCACAGAGACTCCATCGCGCTGAGCATGCCAACGTAGTCGAGACTCTCTCCGGCATGTTCCCAGATCTGGACAAAGAAATCATTAGCGATGTGGTACACCAGAAGCAGGGCAGGTAAGCATGATCCTATTCCCTTTTTCATCTCTATCCCCTTTCATTCGCTTCCGCCCTGCATAACTCTATACCGCCTTTTCTCGCCAGTACTAACATATGTGCTTCCCAGGGTCGGGTTAGCTGTCGATGCTTGTCTTGCATTATCAACATAGGATTAGCCAGGCGTGTCACCACCGCCGATCGGTCCATTTTCATCGCCTCCCCATTTCCTCACCGTTTGTCTCCCGGTTTTATTTATTTTGCTCTTTCCCGCAAGCATAGCTCTGGCGTGTTTTTTTGGAGGAAGCGGACACGGAATGTTCCGAATCGGCGCCAACGTGTAGATAGATTCTTTGGAACGTGAGAACAGTCGACGAGCAAGGTCAGGCTGTAAGCGAGAATGGTGGTATCCATCTAGTCAGCATTATTTGCATTTGGGTTGGGTAGGGTTAATAGGTAGGGTTCGTGCCGCTCCCCCTCCTCTGGAGAGGACAACTGGGTCCCCTCAGGATCTCGATATGCGTGGAACCAAATCCACTAATGAAAGGAAATATCAACCCATTCTATTGACTTTCTCTCTAAATATTTAAACCTCGTGTATCCTGTGAATACCGTGTATCATGTGGGATTTACATAGCACAGCATGCTACAAGATGCCGCTTCATTCCCAAGATACCTCCGTCGCTAACATTCAAATATGGCCAAAGTGTTTACAAAAGATACATATGTACATATCCAAATCCAAGGGGGAGAGTTAACTCCAAAATAAGTTGTTTTACCACCCACGGTAACCTCGAGCCCCATCCGTCGAGTACTGGTATGCGTGTCCACCGTTGTTGGGTGAAGTGAGATTCCTGGAGCCGTTCTTCTGGGAAGCCATGGACCAGCGGTGCGCGTCGGCCGCGTAGTAGTGGTCCGGGGTGTCTGGCCGGCCTGAGCTGTGGTCGAGCATCTGGCGGTGGCTGGTGGCGATGGAGATGACGGACTTCCTGTCCGAGTGCTTGTGGCCGGCGATGATGGAGATTCGTCCGTCCAGGGGGGTGAGAGGGGTGAGGTCGTCCATGTCGTGTTGCATTTTTTCTGCAGATTCATGTTAGCCTCGTTCAACGAACTGATAACTTTAAAGGTAATAATAGTAGTGGAATCAAAAGAGGGAAAAAAATACTTACCGGCCTCCTTTCTTCTCTTGCGATGTTTGTTGGTCTCGCACATAGCCATGAAGACGTGCGCAACGAGCAGCAGAGCCAGCACACCCGTCAAAGTGGACTGGACAGCGATGAGCGCAACTCCGGTGACCGTCTTCGTATCCTGGCTGATGCCGAATTCTCTGACGAACACGAGAACGCAGACGACGGAGAGGACACGCACGACCTGGATGACGATGTTGAGGATGTTGTGCGACTTCTCCTCGAACGGGCGGCTCCAGAGGAGCAGGCCGAGCATGATGGCCTCGACGATGAGGATCGCAATCGTCTGGCTCTTGCCTGCGCCGTCACCGGCTGCGATGACGATCCCCTTGATGGCCATGTACAGGATGAATGGGACAAAGACCCACCAGTAGTCTCGCTTGTAGCTGTCGTAGAAGATGGAGTACTTGGTCCAGGTCTCCTTGTCGTCGTAGAGCGCGCCGGTGTGGCCGTCCCGCTCCTTCATGATTCGCACGGCCCTCCAGATCCTCCAGGAGAAGAATGCGAGGACCGAGGTGAAGATGGCCAGAGTGACGGCCGCGAGTGTTGTCGCGGCCCAGGAGTCGCCGCGCGTGAACTGGAAAACGCAGTAGAGCACCCAGATGCCATACAGCATCAGGATCAGCATGGTGATGACTCGGCCAATCGAACCCCAGTAGTGCTTGCGGAAACCAGTAAGCGATTGTGGGAAGGATCCAAACTTGGCCCAGAGCTCGAGCAAGCCTTTGAAGAGGACCATGAAGAAGACAATACCAGCGATGATGATGGCAACGATGAGGAGAATGGTCATGAAGATATCAGATCCGGGTACGCGAAGCTTCTCGGCGAATGCCTTGATGCCAGAAACGGTTTGGCTGACAGTGTCTTCGGACCGAAGCTCCAGATCTCTAATGGCCAAGAGCTCGAACTCCTCAAAAGCTCGCTTTGTCTGGAACAGGCCACCACCTGTAGTGTTCTTCAGGTAGGGAACGCTGTCCTCAGTCAGATTTCCACCTGTCTTCGCACGGAAGTCGTCGATAGCCCGCTGCACGGGCTCCCAAGCGACCAGGCCGGCGCTGAATCCGAAATTCTGGCTGAAGCTTTGGTACACGGGAGGATAGTCGACCGACAGCATGCCATTCATTGCCATGCCCTGGAACCAGCCGACCATCTCTGTCAGACCAGGCGTGATCGGCCCAGATCCCGGACCGTACACGGCCGAAGTGATGGCGGACGCACCAGAGGCGAGCACCGAAGCACCAATGACACCAGCGGCCACGTACGAGACAGCGGGCAGCTTCGTCGTCTTTCCATTGGTCACCTCGAGCTGAATGCAGGCCACAACCTCTTCCGTGCTGTTGTCCTTTAGCTTGAGCGTCCCCGTGGCCGAAATGTCGGGAATCTGGAAAGCGATGTCGGGGACCTGGCTCTTACCCTCCTCCGGCACGGCCTGTGATCCATGTGCGATGAATTCCTGCTCGGGGAGGGGGCAGAGCTGTTCTATAAAGTTGGCCTCGCTGCATGGGTCGAATTCGTTGCTGTAGATGTTTCTGCCGTAGGCCACGACCTCCAGCTCGGCGCTCACGTAGCGGGACCCGGAGCTGGAGCCAGAGACGTCGAAGGAGATCGAGCCCTTGTCGTGGTTGTAGCTGATGTACGCTTTTTGCACCTTGATGTAAGATTCATCGGAGCACATCTTGAAGCCGCTCGTCTCGATGATCCGGTCCGCCACCACACCCGAGGCCAGGAGGCCGGCGACAAGCCCGAGCCTCCACCCACTGCGCATGTTCTGAAAGGTCACCATTGTCGTCGAGTTTCTATGTTGTCGCCGTAATGGCCAGTCGCAATATCAAGGATCGGTACTCGTGTAAGAGAGATGAGCCGTCTATCTAGCGTGTATGTCAAAAGGAAACGGAAAGGGAAAGGAAAACAGATGCTATGCTGAGATGTAGAAAATATATCGTTTAGGGCGCCAGGAAAAGAGACCGGAGAGTGTCCAAGGTCAAGTCTAAGGATTGGATATGGGTTGATGGTTGGTTGTATTTGCGGTCGGAGACCAAAAGTATTAATCAGGTAGTATTGTTGAATCGTGTCCCGGGTCAACCTGGGATCAAGAAGAAAGAATTGAAAGTCAAATCAAAGAGGAAAAATGGTGGACTATATCGAGGCCCTTTGGGAGAAGCTTGACCAGCAGCTTCGCCGTATCGGATCTATGATGAAAGCTCCCAACCGCAGTCGTGTAGCGGAACAGGGAGCTTGATGCACACAGGGAGAGAAGGGGTACCACCGAGGAAGAAGGACAATGATATTCGCAGTTGGGATGGAGAGTGAGCGTGAGCGCTTGGATTAAGAAATCATATACGGTTTTACCAAGCGAGGGAGGATGAGCGAGAGTGAGAGCGATCGAATACAGGGAAAGAAGAGGGAAAGAGGACAAAGCAGGAGGCGTGGCGTAGAAGAAGAATCACGGCCAAGCACAACTTACAAGGAAGTGCACATCTACAATGCATTGAATGTACGTACTCTGAACCCTGCTGGCTCGGTCGTCGACTTACCTGCAGTAGGGAGGTGGCCGTCTTCCTCTGTAGGGATGATGATATGAGCATCAGTGGAATATTCCGGTCCTCTAGCGGCAGCCCGTCGTGTTTAGCACCCGCGAAGCCCTGAGAGCCGCAGCTAACTGGCGGCTGGCCAGCACATCCCTGAGGAACAGCGCCGAGCTGGGCAACGATGGACGGCTGCCCCTGTGGCCTCTCACCACTAAGGGGCCAGCGCCGGGTTGCTTTAGGATTTTAGGTAGGGGCATAGGGCCCGCTGCAGCCACGCCGCCGACGGCCTTGGCGGCCAGGTCCACTACAGTCCAGGGTCTGTTCCACTGTCCACGCATTCCACGGCTCGCGGTTGGCACTAGAGCCACCGCTGGAACCACGGTGCAGCACCTATCCTCCAAGTCCAGTGGCAGGAGGACATTTGAAGTCTGAGGCTGGGGCGGGGGTCGCGTGCAGCCGAGATGAGGCGAGGAAAAGGATCGAGTAATACAAGCCTGTCTGTCAGTCGGCCGAACCTTCACCTCCAGATCAGACAGAATAATACCAGGCAGGCAGAATAATAAACACCCAGCTCACGTCACGTCGAGGATCGTGGCGCTTCGAGTCCTCGTCCCGGCTCCCATTGGCCGTCGCCACAGAGATCCCTCCCGCCCCAGCTCGTGAAACGAAATAAGCTCCACCTCAACTGTGGCAGTGTCCCCCCTAAACCAGGCAGATGGCTAGCATCAACGTCCAGTCATACAGTACGCAGCACTATGTAAGTCGAGCCGATGTTACTAACACGAAATCAAAGGCCTCCGTTGCAAAATCATGCGCATATTCAGGGTCATTGCTCCGTCGAAAAAGCATCGTTCATCTTTTCCTTTTCCTAGATTCCTGCCGTTCTCGCTCCGTCCGAACTTCCTCTTCTATTCTTCTATATAAAGCCACAGCACTGTTGTTTCGTCCTGTCTCAGCTCGGACCGCGAAAGGGGTCAGTCCCCGCCTACACCTGAGTTTGTTGTTATCCATACAACAGGGGGTGATCATGCAATCTTCCATGTCACCTCGATAATTTGCAGAAGCAAAAACATACGGTAAGAGTGTTCCTCTGAGAAGGTTGTAGATGTAACATCAAATCCATTGTAAGACTAGAAACCTCGATGCCAAAGTTCAAAGCGCCCACGCTAAGGGAAGGGGACAAGTTAAATCGAGAAGGACGGGGTGACCAACAAGGAGAAGCAAATCGCCGATCGCTCAAGAATACGATGGTAGCTGGAGGACTGCCAACCCTACCCTGTCACTCAAATGATGCGCTCGTTTCATCACAAGCTTTAGTCCCAAATCAGACCATCGTTGAAAGAAATATTTCCTACCGAAGCCCAAAGGCGCCCGTTTCCTTGATTCGCCATGATAGAAACAAAATTCGCTTTGCCAAATCACCAACAACAAGAAGTGAAGAAGAAGAGAGAAAACAATATGATGGCAATGATAACCAGCAAAGCGTAGAAGAAGAGAAGTAGCTGTATCCAAAAACCCCCAAAAATGTAATTCCAGATCATAAAATAGTCGTCATAACATCATCTACCATATGGGTTTGTTGTCCCACTCATTTTCGGGCTTTGTCGCGTTGAGATGAGGGGAGTGTGAATAAGGCGATGCAGTCCCGTGACCGCCGTATGAATTTACATTCGTCACCGATGGGTCCATCATCGGACTATATCCAACTTGGTTGTGTATTGGACCGCCTGTTGTGTTGTGAAGACCCAGCGCATCCAGCTGCGGGAAAGGTTCAAGGCCACCATCGTTACCGTTGTGGTGGTACTGGCCCGTGGCCTGGCCAAAAGGAGGTGTGGTTACAGGCGTCTCCGAGATCTGCGGTCCGGGGTTAAATCCCTGGTTCATCGTATCAACGCCGACAGAAGGTTGTTGGAGCTGTGTCCCCATATCAGGGTACTGGCCCGTATACATTTGCGGGCCTACCATAGGATGATACATATAGCCACCTTGAGGCTGAGCGAATACCATGGGATTGTGCTGAACAGGCAAGTATGGCCGGCCATGGTCAGACATGAGCGCACCCGAAACGGGGGGAGGTTGCGTCACTGGCAACCGGCAGACTGGCATATCTTGCACGGGACTGATGATGGTGTCTGCGCTAACTTCCTTGGCCTTTGCAGCTACGAGGCGTAGCACGGGCAGTGAGATCTGCTCCATGTGTTTGGCCAGATGAACAGTAAGTTTCTTCCATGTGGTGAATGTTTTGCCACAGAACCTGCATGGCTCCTCTTGAGGCCTCTTGGGTGTCAGCTCATGGCACTGCTCAACCTTCTGCCAGGTGGCGTCGTTGTTTCCAGCCTTCTTGATGGCCGCCTTCGTCTTCACCTTTGGTTCGGGGAACTTGTGCTCCCGAACTAGATGTTGGAGGAAGTTGTCTCGTCGGTAGCACGTGTGGCGGCACTCGTCAACGTCGCAAGTCCACCACTCAAGATGTCGATGACCCTCATTTTCATGGCGCACCCAATCGGCCTTTCTCTTGAAGGACTTGGCGTCTCTGCATCTATCCCAAGTGCATGTAAATGGCTGGACGTCCTCATGGACATGCTTGGTCCAGTCAGATGGCTTGTTGAACTTCTTCTTGTTGAAGCAAAGCTGGCATTCAAACTCTGCCGGGAGGTATTGGGTTGGGGGGAGAGGAATGTCCTGTGGGAAGCTATCCTGGTTGACCGCGCCATCTGTGGGTGTGCCGTTGCCATCATCATCAAGGAGCTGGCTGGAGGAAGCTTCCATCCACCTCGAGCCAGCTTTATCCTTGTCCTTGGATTCCAAAATGTTTGCCTGGCCACCCATGGCCATGCACAGCGAGCCACATGGACAGTGGGCGCCTTGGCCGAGGTGCTTGACCTTCGAATTCAACAGTGCCTTGTATCTAATCACCTGGTGCTGTGCAAGTCGATCTACCAAGTAGTTGTACTGCCCATCAAGACCAGGGTTCAACTTCAAAATGTATTCCTGGAAGCCCTGGAACTTGGGTTCAACCGTATCAATGATGTTTGCATCAACCTTCATATCACTGTCCTCGTAGAGATCATCATCATCATCCTCGTCGTCGTCGTTCTCCAAGTTGGCCAGGCTTGCTGCGTGGGCAGAGGCAAGATTAGGAGTGCTTAAGGCGGCAACAGGGGGGCCACCCTGCGTCTTCCACAAGCTGATGAGATTCGGATGGGATTCCATCCTTCCCGTACTCGCGACTGGCTGTGGCAGTTCCGATCTGCTGCGTGGCCGCTTTAGACTGTTGCTTACTTTCAGGCCTGAGAAAGAGCTCCTAGGTGACGCCGAAGGTACTCCGCCCGTAGAATTCTTGCGAGCATGTTGAGGACTATTGCCCATGAATGAAGCCACAAGGCTGAGAGCAGGCTTATTCTTGACAGTCCAGCTGGGCGATCTATCAGGTAGGGAAAGGTGTGGCGAGCCTATACTATCTCGTTTTTCCATCGATGGCCTTTCTTCCTGTTCGCGGTTGGCCAATTCTTCACCAGAGGCGCTGCCGCGGCGCCCCTTGCGCAGAGAGCTGACACTAGGCCGTCGAACAAAGCCCCGGAGATCTTTCAACAGGCTTCCAGCTCGGTTCCCGAGATCTGTTCCGCGATCGCCCCCACGGCTAATAGTCAACTTCCTGAGGAAATTTCCACTAAGAATCCCCTCCTCGTCCAGGTCAGCGACACTGTGAATGCTGCGCCGGCGGGTGCCCCACGTCGCAGACCTGGAGAGGATCGAGTCGTTATCGCGACACAACAACTCAAAGCGCTCAATGGCAGCCTGTGAAGTTTGCGGCTGGTGTCTGCCAGGGGTTTCTCTACGAATATGAGGCAAAATAGGAGCATCAGCCCAGTTGCGATTTGATGCGATAATCTCAACATCCTGCTCGTTAATTTTGCCACCCTCTCCAGCAAAATAAGTTTGGCCAGGAACGGCGCGATTCTCAGTATTGTCGCCAAGAGGAATTCCATCGTCCTGGTAGTCCCGAGACTGGTCGATAGTCTGAATGTTTTGGGGATCTTCAATCAAGGGCTCACCGGCGGTTGGACGATCATTGTCGCTCAGCCACCTGCTGACATCCTGATTTCTTTCATCAACTTTTTGCATGTTGGCAAGCTCATTCATCGAGACCGGCAACTCGTCAGCAGGTCGGCTGAGGGGATCGAGCCCCGCCTGGCCTGTGCGAAGATCACGCTGCCATCGGCCCATTTCGTCTCTGGATGTGAAGGGCTGGGCGTCATCGTTACGGTTCGAGGTGATCAAGTCTCCTGCCGCCTGAAATCCGCCATGCACGGCAGTTGGGCTCTCATGCAGTGAGCGCTCAACCACAGTCCGCGCTATGCCGTTTGCTTCATGGTCGAAGAAGGATACTGAGATCCGGGGGCTGGCAGCACGAATATCAAAGTTGCCGGGGGCAAGACCATCCTCGCTAGACCGCCCGCTGCTGCTCTGGTCAGGTGTGAGCTGTGAGGACTGTGTCATGATTGTAGGGAACGGCTTTTGTAATTGTTGCGGCGATATGGATTTTGGGAGGGTCTCTGAGACGTGTCGCGTGACGGTCGGTCTGCGATCGCTGTGTGGGGAAGGTGGTCGGATAGAGGCCGATTGTTCTGGCGTCAAGGGATATGTAGATTCGACGGCATGACGGAACGCCTCAGAAGCAGCAGAGGAGCGGTTGCTGATGGAGAATGGCGAAGTGTCCCAGCCGGGGTTTTCGCTCTGAAGAAACGAAGGGACACCACCTTCGGCAGAACTGAAATCCGCGCCGAAGAAGGGATCGTCTTCTAGGTCGCTGATATCACTAGCTTGGTAGTTGCTGAGATTCGACGATGCGCCTGGGGTCTCGAGGTGGTGAGCCGAGGGCGGGGAGAGTGAGTCAGGGTCCTCTAATGGGATGAAGACGGGCTCTTGGTTAAGGTGGGCGTGGAGAGGATTGGCGTATGCCGAACTCATGATGACGACGATCTCTTTCGAGAGACAGCCGCGGACGGACTGTCTGATATGTGGGAGAGCAGAATATGTATGTATTGACCCTGTTGTAGAAGAGAAAGCGGGAGGTTGAGAGAGGTGCTGCGGGCCGTGGATGAGACGATACTAGTGAAAGCAGGTCAAACGGCTGAGGCTGACAAGATGGATACCTCTGGATCCAGTGGTCAAGTACCTTGGAAGTAGCCCAAGCAAAGGAGGTGATGTCGCCCGGGTCCCGGTGTAACGTCAAAGCAGGCAGGCAGGCTGGCTGGCAGGGCAAGGCAAGACAGTCTAGCAGCGACTGTCGCGGGGGATCGGGGGCGTGAAGTCAAGGGCGTGGGATCAGGTAACTAGCCATGGCACGGACGGGACAATGTCGATGGGCGCAGGTACATGGGATTATAGCGTCGGAGTGCGTTATGCGGTGAAGGGCGCGCAGGCTGATGAGGGAGATAACTCATATGAACTGGGCTGAGGACGGATGGATGGGGTAGAGGAGATCGTGGGGCTGTTCTGGCGGCTGGTGTGCGATATTGGCCACAGCCCGTGGGTGGCTTGGGAGCGACAGGGGGGACGGCGATAATGGAGGGATGTTTTAAGGACTGTAAGCAGGTAAAACGCCTGTTGGCTCCTCCCAGCGCGAGTGAGCAGGACGGAGGGGGGAGGATCCAGGCTGGGCTTTCGGCCTGGCTGATAGTTGAACAGGCCGGGGATAGTTGATTGAGCGAGTTGACGGTGGGGCTTGGGAGTCCTGGACGAGCCCCTCGTCTATTGGAGCAGATTCAGTGGATGCTACCACCCTGGAGGCGCGCTGAGGTTGGGTCCCCGCCCGACACTCGCAGGTACCTGGCCCAAGCGCAGCGCTTACCGGGGCTGCTGGTACCCTGCTGGTACTGCTGAAGCCAGGCGCCCTCCACCCGCGCGCCCAGGACGGTCTAGTGAATGCCGCCAGCGCCAGACCTCACATTCGCAGGGCTGCACGACACTTATTATTAGAGGCAGCCAAGGATGCTCCCGAAGCAAGCAGTGGTTTGTTTGATGGCCATCGAGGGCGATCGGCTGGGGCCAGTTCCTCATCACCACTACTCGGGTTGCATTGTGCGATCACAGTGCACCACAGCTTCATACATCCCATATTCCTTCCCAGGATGGGACGGGATTAATAATCCGACTCTCAGCTGTGTGCACGGAGCGTCGCGCAACTGGTCAGTGCCGGCAGCTGTCTGATGAGAGCGCGCCAGGATAAACTCCGACTCCAGCTGCTCCAGTGCTCCGGCAAGTGCGTGTTTCCCGAACATCCACACTGCGACCCAGTGCAAGGGTAGCTGCGTCGACAAACAAGCAAAATGGATTAATGTCGTGGACGGCCACAAGCGCGGGAGAATTCCATGTCTGCATCGTATCGTTGATGTGGGGCCGGCTATCAGTACACTGGAGGAACCTTGTCGGTGGAGCAGAGAGAGTGCCTTGTGGTTGAAGACTGAGGCCATCGACCGGGCCATAGCCCGATCAGATCGCAGAGCAAAAGTCCGCTTGTGTGTGTCTGCTGCAATGTTTCGCTGGGGCCTCTGTGCCGTTTCACGTCATCGACTTGGTTTCGCCAATGTGCAATTTCCTGGGCTGGCAGTTGGCAGCTTACCTACCTCCTTGGCCTCAGAAGCTCATCGGTACATCGCGGGTACTTGGGCACCTGCAAGGCTGCCCCGGGGCAACTGTTACTTCTGGGGCCGTTAGGCGCATTCCAGAGCTTGGCCCAAGCCTCATGCCCCACGCCCAGGTTGAAAGCCATTCCTAGCCACAGGCACAAGGCGTTTTCCACCCACTTGATCACATTTTCTCAGTTAAAACACGGTCAAGATGCAAAAAATCACTCTCCTAGACCCTGCCGAGGTTGTGATTGCTGCTGTCCTCGGGCGGCCCAAGCGCCGCTCTTGTTTCATCATGACATCAACCCTCTGGCGATCGCATTCTCTCAGCGTTCACAGGCAGCCACGGAATTCTAGCACCGATCCTCGCACCACCGGATGATATCTGCGTAGTAGGTTTCTTAGCAGGCCGTTATTGGCGTCAACGGCACAGATTCCGTGGGACGCCAGTAATATGAGAGAGAGCTAAGCTGTTGGGTATGTGCTGGCACTGCCATCCTTTGCTCGAATGTGGATGCAGTGCTACCTCCCGTACAGCCGCCGCCGGTTGGCAACAAATGTGCAGAGTCCATGCATCCCCTCGTCGCTGCTACACTGGCCCCTCCTCCCGTCCCCTTTTGGCAGACACATCGCGGGTAACGTGGTCAGCCCTCTTTCTATCTCAGGCCGAGTCCACTGCCTGGGGTGTCTGATCTGACTTCCAAGCATTGTAGGGCTGAGGCGCAGTCCCTGGCAGCAGCGGATGCTACAGCTATGTCGTTTTATGGGCTAATCGCCCAACTTTTATTACCCCTCCTCACCAGATGCCGCAGTGGCTGGGGGCTTGGACACCTTTAATTACTACCTAAACAGGCTCCCCATCGCGATTGTGGCACTGCTGCAATGGGACGATTGCTGCGCGCAAGCCCACCGTACCAGAAGCTTTCCAGATGTAAGTGGGACTTTTATCGAATTTTATCGTTTAGGATCTAAGGCTGTGCTCTATGGCCTGCGATCCTCAGGTATTGCAAATTGCAATGTTAGAAGACAGACACCTGCGTGGTGTGATGTGCTCTCGGTAATGGGTGAAATCGAACCCCGGAGTCTCCACTGTAGGACTCTGGGAGAAGGGCACCCTGGTAATAGCTTAGTACTCATTTACTCCATGGTAGTAGCCAACCAAAGCCTGAGATGATTTGTTATACCACAAGCTGTAGAAAACCTCATGTTCTTTTCTAATTTCAAGCTGGATGCGCAACTCATTTTTCACATAGTCTATTACAACAATTACTACCTACCTAGGTTAGTTTATGACCATGACAGATATAGTAGTCTTGATCTGCTCCAATCCAATGCCTGTCGGCGCCAAGCGATATGCACGTGACAAATCTAATCTCGTCAACGCCATCATTTGGACTTCGCTCGTCACTCCAGTGACACAATTGAACTTGCCCTCAGACATGGCATGGTTTTCCACTTCGCGTAGAACCTCACGCACATAGCTATTCTCATTCCCCAGTTATACTGGCCAGCAGAACCATCGACACAAAACCAGCACGTGCTTCTACAAGGTGTGCCTCCAAGGTATTCCTAGGAACCACACCTCAATATCCACCATGTTCCGGGTAGGTCCCCACCAAGCTCTCGCAAGCAACTCGGCCGTCGCTTAGCAACAGAATGCAGTCGCATCCCGAGCAGCATCTATATATGCGCCTCCATGGGACCAGGTCGCTCGTCCTCACATCTCAAGAGTAAGCTCATGCGCCTACAAATACCGCCATTCTGGCATGATCATTATGCTCACATTGGCCCCGTCGCAAAGACTAGTCGAGCTTCGCGCCGCCCAGCGCACCTTTGAAGGCGCATACATCCGTACGGCCCTGGGGCAGTTCTCCTTTGCATTGGTCATCCTCAAGATCTTCACTGCCGAGTTCTACCCTATCGGTGCTCTCTTTGCCATCTACGGCGTCGCCATCCTGCTTGTAGCCATCCACCGTCGCTACGAGGGTCAACGGCAGTTCTTCACTGCTCAGAACCGCAGCGGCCGGTTCAAGCCTAAATTCCGCACGAGTGGCGACACGGTCACTCTGCTGACGGGGTTAAGCCTCTGCGCGTATTTAGCCCTTCTGGTGTTGACTTGGCGGTTGGTGTTATAGAGCTTTATAGGAACCCGGAATAAACAGTCTACCTTATAGAAGGCTGTTGTCTCAAGTCCAATGTTATTGAAAATCTCGATGCGTGTTAGTTTATGAAATACTATTGAACTAAATCTAAGCTGTGCGTGGTGTTGATAGAGGTTCAGGACTGTGTCAAGAACATTGCCAGCTCAATATTTGCCCTTGAACAACGACAGTATGTCGAGATGTCACTGAGGCACTGAGCCAGTTCTCTTCGAATCCGGAGCCCATCATCTCATAATACTGTGGGCACATCTTATTATGTCCTCACGGAGAAAGTCCCTGGAAGTGTGATCCCAACGAAGCCACAGCCAAGCAAAGATCAAAAGTAGTGCGACATCTTGTAGATGTATTCCTTTAGCTAAAAAGGTAGCAGCGAGATATAGCTATCCCTCCGTCTCTTTGGCCTTCTCTAGCTCATCCTATGCTCTCCGCTTTGCCCGCAACTCACAGTCATGTTCGCTGCCATCCCGCCGCCTCTTTTTGGCCTGGTCACTGCTCCCTGCAACACTTTCCGTCGAATTCTCCTCGGCAGAGGATTTCTTCTTTTTCACCGCAGCCAGGACCTGGCATCTAAACGGTTCCTTTGACCTCGGAGCGGCCAGTCTCTGCGTTAATTTCCGAGCGTCTTTCTTCAGCTTTAATGTCTTCCTGCTGCTTTCCTCCTTCGGATCATCCAGATCGGCCAGCTTGTCGTTTAGCTCATTTAATTTCTTCATCAAAACAGCCTCCTCTGATTCTAATTCCCACTTGAAACCCTGCTCTATACTTTCGGCACAATATAGCGACTCGAAGGGACATGGGCGCTCGGCCCGCCATCTCTCCTGCCCTGCACCTCTTTCCACCAGAAAGAAGTCGTATTCCCCGTTGGAGGCGTAGGCGGTAGATGGGTCGGGCTCGGTGCCCACGGATTCATAAGCCCAGTCTATCAGAAAGAGGCTGCGAACCCCGACAAACTCGTCCAGCAGGTCGTATATCCCGTTGTGGGGTCTGAAAGTTACGGCATATTCCTCGCAATCGTCGCACTCGTTGCATGGCTGTTCGCAGCGCCTGACGGGCAGCGCCCTGTGGCAGTCCTCCGGGCTATGAGCAAGGACTCCTGCAGACTTATGGCCTCCATTGTCGAATCTTTCGATGCAGTATCTGCACCATTCCCGAGTTGTTGGACCATGAAATTCAACAGCCAGTTTCGAAATTCGGCTTGTGCCAGGGTGAGCTGCCGAGACCTGTATGACATGTTTGCAGCCATCCGGACTGGGCACTTCGGGGAAATGGTCAGACAAATCTCCCACTTGAAGACAGAGTATGTCCAAGGTTGGGTTTAGAATTAGTTGTGAGCGCTTGAGAACATCAAACTCCGGGGTCGTCATGAGATAGTCTCCTTCTTTGTGCTTCAACTCGTCCGGTAGTCCCATCTGTATAGGGAGCACAACGGGGTTCTCTCCGAAGGAAATGCGTCGAGCTGCCGCATTCGTCCAGCGAAGTGGCGCCTGGGGATGAAAAGGAGCACTGGTAGGGCGCCTCTTGTTCCACCAGTCTTCTACGCGCCTACGACGTCGAAAATGTTCCTCGTTCATCTCTTCAAAAGGACCAAGCTTCATAGAAGCCGGGTCAAACCTGGGGAATGTGGCCTCAGTGAAGATAGGCTGGTCGCGCCAGTCAAACTCAATCACGCCATAATCATCTTGGACTCGCAAGAGTTTAACAAAACTGATTTCCGGCGAGCGAGAGTCTCCAAAGACTTGGTTCAAGATCTCGTTTGGCAGTTTAGACATGGCTATAGTAAATAAGGAGGCCTTTATTTTTTGAGTAGCTGGCGAGATCTTGAATGAAGCGGGGGCTTCAAACGAGGAAACACTGATTTGGAAATTACTCCAAGAAGGTATATGGGCAGTAAGAAAGTAGGGGAGCGGTGCGTTGCGGGAAGTACTCTGTGATTGAATCAGGTTTCAGAGCGCGAGGTGGCACCGTGTAGGAGTACTGGGAGAAGTCCCCCTCAACATCATTTCTTGCTTTATTTTCATTGAGACAAACCGAACAATAGAGGTAAGTTGGCAGACTGGCCCATTCGCCACTCGTATATTCCAGCTAGCCGGCCATCATCTAGACTGCTGGTCATCAATCTCCCACTTGCTACTTAAGCGGGCCAATGCGTAGCCTTTCACTTTGCACCGCTCACTAAGATTATTGGAACACTCTGGGGAACAACAGCTGAGTAGAACTGTGGATATGGTTTTGGTGTGTAAGAACAGTTTGCCCTTTTCTTCCCTTCCTCTTTCGTTGTAGTAATGAGGGCCTCTCTGTATTTGGGACAATTATGGCGACATATAGGGCCAACCTGACAAAGCTGGAGAAAGGAATTTCTTTTGCTTAGTGACTTAACCGTCACAATGATGGCCAGACTCTGCACGTGTATTTGGGCCTCTAATGTGCTACGACTTGATATTATTGTGTCTACACAAAGATCTTTGGACTAATGATTCATAGACCGCGTCAAGTCACGCCAAGAGAATATGTATTTCTTGTTAAAGAGAAAGTGAAGGGTACTAGTTGGGAAACAGATAGTTCCGATAGCTAACCATCGGCTGAGATAACTGGCCATTGAACAGTACAAGACTCGTATTTTGAACCCGCTGCTATAGGTGAACGTAAGTGATAAATCGCCTCACTCGCCCTATCTTTATTTCCGGTTAGGAAATTGGTACGGTCAATCACACAAGGAACAAGGCGGCCATGTAACTTCGTTATACCCCGAGCTTTATAAAACTAACCCCGTTCAAATAATTTTCTACAGCGCCCTGGGGAGGATGATCTGAACTCACGATGGCACGGCCCCTCTCTGACGAGAAGCGTTGACAGCACAGTGTGTATAGCCCGCAACCTTGGAAAGCTTCTTAATTCTGCTGTTATCCAGTATATTTAGATGTGCTTCCGTTTAAAATATTTCTTGAATTCTACACAGGCAATAACAATTATCTATCTCTATTGTGCTTGGTATTGATCGAGGCCCAGTAGCCTTGTCGGGAACATACGAGCCAGTTCGACGTTGACCCTCGTAGATTAGAAGATACCAATTATTAATTCTCAAAACTTTTCCGCTTGCCGTAGCCACTTTACCTTCGCCATGCAAATAATCCTCCTCAAGTTGACCAATATAAAAGATTTCAACTCTATCACTTATTCCTGGCTTCCCCCTCAATGTCGACCCCTACCAGTCCACCGCACATATGAAATGAGCGTATATTTCGCATTGCAAGATGCACTAGGATCATATATTGAGAGGCTTGATCCCCCGTTATTTGGTGTTGCTTTCGTGTACAGGTTGAGTTCCTGGATGTCAAACTTTATGCCAGCCACTTTGCTATGTGGATCAGTTCTCCGAGGAGCCATTGCCAGCATTCCCCGTACTGCTGTTTGGGTACATCCATGGTGAATAGCCTGACTTAGGTTCAGAAGCAGAATCCTGGCGGTGCCATGTTCCCAGTGCCTGCGAGGGCAACGGTCTTGGCTGCATCGGCGGATATGGGATAGGCACATCATGCATCGGTGCCCCCATTCGGGTGTTACGTGCATCTGCGTAGTTCGGGGCAGACGAGGGGATTGCATCAATACCTGGGCGTACAAGGGGGTTTCCCACACGCCCAGAGCTTCCCGTAGCCTTGTCCCCAAAAACGGCTGCCGGGGGTAATGGGCCTCTCCATCCCAGATCTTGCCGGGAGGTTGTTCCAGGGACAAATGGCCTCCCTTGACCTGGGTCGTTCGTAGTGGAGCCAGAATGCTGTCTTCTCCAATGTTCATTGTTGTTGGTAGCACCGAGATGCATCGGTGAATTTTGGCTTGTCGGCGCATAACCTCGGGATGTCTGGTCGCCAAAGTCAAAACGACTATCCGAGTGCATCCCACCCCTACTGACTTTGAGAGTTCAGCCAAGTTCGAAACCCATTTTTGCCATCACCTCGAGCGCGGGAACTTACTGTTTGGGTTGCGGTCATCAGGCTGTGACCACGGCGAGGAGGGTTCTGCACGGAAGGCAGGGTGAACATGGCTCGAATAGTCTGAGTTCGTTTCCATCCCGGGGGGGCCAGGAGAGGACGTATTCGAAGCAATCCCGCCATCAGAATGCGGATCAAGTGATCCGGACTGGGCTTCGCTTGCTTGTTGATCGGTGGGGATAAAGCTGCACTCCTTCTTCAATCGGATGCAGTTTGTGCAGCGTCCGTGAAAGTCGTGTGGCGATGGGATACATCGAATTTTTCGTCGACGGCAATGGTCTTGTGTATTTGAATAGCATTAGAAGGTTTGAAGTTCCACGATGAACACGCTGCTGGTTACTTACTGCATGCCACAGAGGTACGGTGATAACCCAATTTATTCCTTCTCTTCTCGCCGGCAAAGCCGGAAAGCGATTGACTGCCAGGTCCCCCATGCATGTGCGGGTTCGTAGCATATTCTGAGTTTGGAAGTGATGGGTCCATATACCAACGGAGGTTGGGATCTGTTGACGATGGAAGCCTCGATTGCGCGACACCATCGTGAGGATGAGCATACTCGGGATTGCCATATCCTGGACCATAGTCTGGAGGCGGACCAGGGTATCCTCGAGACATCTTACCCGCTTTAGGTTCCGGTGAAGCTCTCAAGGATATCGTTTCTCCTCTGGAAGCTAGGGAAATGCCGATAGAAGACTTGGCAGCCAGAGGCCAACAGAAAGCGCCAGGCGGCGCCTAGCTTACAATACTCTGTCAGATATGCCAATACTGAGGCGGATTTTGCCGGTAGATATCACCCTGGCCTTGGTCAATGGTGAGAATTAGATATGATAAGTGTAATTACGCTGGATTGGGATGATCGGGAATGCAATCTTACCAGGAAGTAGAGAACTATAATGTGCTCCCAAGGGGCAAAGGAAAAGAATTTAACCACAGATGTTGGAAAGAGTTACTGCCTGGACGTCGTCATGCGTTGATATATGATTAAGTTTTCCTTTCAGCTACAAGTACTCAGCCTAAGAGGGCTGGGGACTGGCCAGACGATTGGAGTGGCAAATGATTCAATGCCAGATTCATCCAACTGCCCGTTCGTTGTAATTGTGATTGGTCGAAGAGTGCCTACGTCTGCAGGTCAGTTTTTCGTCGATGGATTCAGCGCAAACGGCCAGAAGGGTGGCTTGGCACTATGAACAAGGGTGGTATGATGAGAGACAAGACGCTTGTTGCATCTCCAGGGTCCCAGGGGGCCACAGATCGATCCAGCCGGCTCAGAGACGTCCCTCTCAAAAAAGTAACCTCATGTACATAAAGATGCGCGCTCAGGCCGTGGCCGACGGAAAGCTAGAACGACCAGAATAATTGAGACAGTTCTCCACGAGACTCTGGGAGTGACTGCCGAAGGAGGGTGGAGGGGGGTGTTTAGATGAGCCCGATGTTTGGGGAGGGGGGGAGTTAAGAACCTCCTCCGTTCTCGGCGACGAATTGGGAGTGAAATTTCGTCGTTTCTTCTCGGAGAGATTAATGAAAGGCCATGTGGCTCGAATAACGACGTGCGTGCTGAGGGCCAGTGCTGATGAATGAATTTGCTGTGTGCTGAGTCTTATTATTCATTATTCGAGAAGTCACTCAGGGGCTGTCCTGTCCTGCATATGAAGGCAGGCAAAAGCATAATAAAGCAAGGGGCGTGTAAAGAGATCAGATCGAAAATTTTGACCTGCCCCCCCAAGATCTCGTATTTTCTTCTACTTTTCCCACTTGCCTTCCTTGTTGAGGCGGAGTTGACACACTGGGGGCAGTGGTGTAATAGGAGACAGCCAGGCAGCGAGTTTTTACAGGAGCAAGATGCAATTGCGTGGAGCAACAGGAGGCAGACTAAGCTTGTCAGAACCCCAGACGAAACAGTATGACTAGCTTTCGGGAAGGTTTGATCATCGGGAAGTAGTAATACTATCAAGGTGTTTGTTCAATATCAGCCTCGGCTTCAGAGTCTACAAAGGACCACCTTCTAGGTACGAAGCCCAAGAAGACGTCGCGTCAATGGTAGAAGTGGAAATACAGATCAGCTTATGGTCAAAGCATCAGCTCCGCTGGTCTGCTCAGGTCAAAGCCCTAGGACGATTTGGTCACTGGCAGATTCAGTTTAATATAAAAGGCGGCGCGCTTGGGCGCTCTGGATTGTGGTTGGTACATGCATTGCTGCAGGTTAATATCAGGGTTCCCTTGAATCAGAGTCATTCGCTCTCCTGCCATGACCCCTGTTCCCAGTGCTCGAGATATGGCAGCATGGGGAAATATTGGCAGCGCTCTCGGGCTCCAAGACTTTCTTGCATGCCTGGACAAGCATCTTTGTGCGTACATGGGGGACTAGGATCGGCCAGTCCATATTGACCGCGCCATGCTCTGCTATACGCTGGTATACGCGGAGATGAGCGACCTGTAACGAATGTCATCATTCTCTTCGGTAAAAAATGTATTCAAAGATTTCATCCCCCTTTCGCTTAGATGCTCCCAAAAGGGAAACCCCAAAGAAAAATGAAAGAGAAGGAAAGAGAGAGCATTAATCAAACCACCCTAGGCAGGGCTGAGTGCATCGGGACTCAGCTGCAAAGCTGATGAGGATGAGCTAGCGTGGACATGGTTGATGCCCTTCGAGGATGCAGCAAGTCTTACACTGGTTTGTGCAAGGGATAATTGCTACTGCAGCTAGGCCAAGTCTGGAGGCAAACAGCAGAAGGTACCTCCAATCTTGATTGAGCAAGTTTCTGGCCTTATTCATTCAATCTTCG